ACAAAAAATTTGGCGCCGGAGCCACCTGCGAGCGCCGCCAAAACTGTGAGCCTTCTCACACGCTAAGTTTATGAAAGGTGAAAAAAAATCCAACAAACAGATCTTATAAAGTACTTTATGACTGATTGATTAGATATCATTTGTCCTGAACAAGGCGTCCGAGTATTACCCTTACTGACACAGTTTAGCTTATGTGTAAGAACACCAGAACACAAGGTAACGAAACATCACTGAAATTTTTTTTCGTGGATAAACTCCATGAAGACGAACCAGTAAAGTATTAATTTCAAAACCAAACTTTTCCCCACATCGAGATATCAAATGCTCAGGATTGAATGGCTTTAGGGAAAATGTCGAAGTGTGATAAGTAAAAAGGCTCTTTAAGCGTAGCACAGAATACCCAAGCTACTCAAGTTCATTAGACACTGCTTTACTACTGGATTGCTGGATTCCAATTCGATCTTCCTGGTTACAAATCCCAATCTGATCACTGGTCGCCTACTTCAACTATGGATCTTAGAGGGTTTTCACTCACTTAGCTACCATCTACGCACCTTCATTGAAACAAAAGAAAGTGTTTACATAAGAAAAGAGTTCAACTCCCACGAGACTGGCTTAGAACACCAACATGGCCACCGTTTCATTGTTTAGGAACACCAATATGGCCACCATGACGTCATGTGAAAACGCTCTATTGTTATTTGGCATCGGTCCGGTAAGTGAGGCTTCTTACTTGTTATGGGTAATTTGGCCACTTTAGAAACGAGAACAGAACTGGAGTCGAAATGTATCTCGCAATTGTATGTGGGATCGCTTCTGGGGACACGCCAGACAGCTATTGGCCAATTGGGTGGGTTATCTGTAAGGAGAGATCTCAATACAGGGATAACCTCATGATCCTCCTTGATGTGGCGTAATGGCTACCTGTAAACAGTGTGTGTACGTATATTTTTCGTCGTCTCTAGTAATGGTCTCCGAAGTCTTCGAAAAAGTTATACTTGACCCAATTTTCCTCTTGTTTCCAAATGTGGCGACTTGTGCAAGGGCCGGTCTTCCTCTTCCTGCCCAGCTAACATTACATAGCCCTTGTACCGCCCCTGCAGCTGCTTTACCGAGAATTGTAATATTTACATTGAAACGTATGAACGCGACTGCCAAAGCCGTTAAAACGTGTCGGTTTGTGTGGAAATTTCAAAACTGTTTAAGTCTCAGAGTTTAATTAGTGATCATTATTTCGGCGGCAAGCTCGCCTGGGGCAAAAACACAGAACGCGACAAGTGAGGGCAGCAGCCCAAGACGAAAAACACGCTGATCAAGGAGCGTACGTGCCGAGTAGCACGAATCACCATGCAGCACCATCCAGATCAAGTGCACAGCAAAGAGCATCGGCCAACACTCCTATCAATCATTCATTTCATCTTCCACTTGCTTTTACTTTAGTGTTGTGTATCAGAGTTTTTTCCTTTTTACCAGGTTTCGAAACAAATTTAATTTAATCTATCCATCAATATTGATTTGTTACTGGATGTTCTTGCCACCTCGGGGGCAGAGTAAAGCCTTTCCCATATTTCGTTAGGCTAAAACCCGATTGCTCAATTTGCTATACGTGATAGACCACTCCGTTTGGCACTGGCTTTTCATTTATTTTTCTAAACATCTTTGTCTGCCTTGTTATTAATCATGTTTCCTTCAAAATATATCATCAAAAACAAATTAAAGAACAAAGACGGCGTAGGATGTCAGGTGACTTGCAATGAAAGAGAATCGAAAGGTAACAGTTTGTTATTGTAGTTCAAGTTGGTCTTTTGAGTGGTACCCGAACACATCATTGCTGCTTCCCTTCTACGCCGAATCTCTTCCCATGCGCTTGCTATTAAAGCACGGAAATTCATTTTAAGATGAACTCAAAAGCTTCTTTAAAAGGTACAGGGTCAGGCGCGGATCCAGACCAGTTTCCACCGTTTTACGGAAATCGATCAGATTTTCATTTCAAATATATCAAATAAATTAGCCTTAATGAAATAATCCGCCAATTTGCAAGGCTTCATCCGAGGAAAATGGAACTGGCCAATATCCTGTCTGAAGACTCAGAAACCCAGGAAAGAGGACCTTAGGGAGTTAAAATTTCCTTAACGAGCGCCCGGCGAAGGCCCAAACTTCATAGAACGCGCATAGAAACTTGCACCTCGGTGCTTGTTTAGGAAATCGGTCAGTATTTATCCTAGATCCGCGCCTGAGGGTGGATTCAACTATGTAAGAAAGAATGTTCTTTGGATTATTCAAGACATCTTTGTGCTAGGAAGAGATCAGCCGAGTTGAACAACAAGAGGCGCTCAAAATCATTCAGTAATAGAGATACTATTGAAACCCCGAAGCAGAGAATAGATAGTAGGTTAAGTAATACTTTTCAAACAACCCATACTATGCCAGGTGGTCAAAGCTTTGCAAGAACTCCACAAGTGTACCATGTAGAAGAAACATTTTATAGAAAATACGGCTGTAAAGACGACGAAACAGAGCATTTGGGCTTCGTCAAAAGGCCTAAAGATGCGAGGAAGCTGCAGTTACGTTCTCGGCGTTAATGACGATTGTGCTCGTTCTTTCTGTGATTCTGTATCGTCCGTCGCTTGCAGCAACTTTACAGTAAAAAATGGCGATGAAAAGATGGAGAGAAAATTCACACTTTCAGGCAGAGTTGGAAATTTTAATGCCATTGTGACATGGCTTCAGTGTTCATCCAGCCCAATTAAATAGTAATAGCCAAGGACTTAGTTCTAGTTATCGAAGTTTTGTTTTTTGAAAAAAATCGTTGCTTTTTTGAATTACCTCCTCAGTTCTGCTTTACGAATGCATTTTATCTTAGCCTTCGAACTTTTGCTTTTGAACTTTTTGAACTTTTTATGCACGAGCACGAAACATGTGACTAATGGAGTATAAACAACTGTTTCGTGACATGCATGAATAGTCATTTTGGATTATTTTTCACTTTAAAACTTTTTATGTTTAGGCCTTGTCCACGCGTTTTTTTCGTTGTTGTTGTTATTTTTTGTTTGTTTGTTTGTTTTTTTTTTTTGTTTTTTTTTTCATGGAGACTTTTCTTACAATTTTCGAAAAAATACGTGTCCACACGCGATTACATGCCTTACAGGGTATGCGCAGTATGATGTGTGACATCATCGTATTCGAATTCCTTCCATACGAAAACGGTAAGCAGGCGTTTTAAAAAAAAAAAATTCACACTGGGGACCGCTTTCGAAAGTCTGCCTTTTCTGGAGAAAAAATTCCCCATTTTCAAAAATATCCCCTCAGGTCTAGTATGTCAACCTCTCCAGGAGTGGGTAATATTTTTGGGTCAATTATTAATAACCCCCAACGCTAAATGTCTTTAAGGAAGCTCGCACCCATTTTTCAAGGTCTCACCCCTTCGTGCTTGATGCTTCATAAGTTTGGTTGTAGTGTCTGTACGAAAACCCCATAAAGCGAAACAACATATCTAACATTGAACTTAATCTTAGAGTATGTTTTATTGTCATCGCCGCTTATTGCAAAAGAATGGCAATGACATGAAATCTACAAATTAGGATTTTTTTTTCAAATACTAGCAATAAACTGTTAAAATCCTCTGAAGAGCTAATAGTTTATCTTTACCTACGCAAGATGTAAAAAAAATCTATGAGTCTCATAGATTTTTTTTTTTTAAATCTTGCCTGGGTAAAGATAAACTATTAGCTCTTCAGAGGATTTTAACAGTTTATTGCTAGAAAACGTTTTTGAAATGTAATGTTCGAAAATTTTTGCATCCAAACAATGCCTTTTTCACTTTTTATTTTTTAATCATCAATACGATCATTTACAACTCCTATATAATCCGTATGTATATATACCTGGCTTAAGGTGCGGTTCAGTTCTTTTAATAGTGAAAATTGGCGGGCAATCGCCTCTTTGCGATCGCACAATACAGCAATTTTTATCGAACCTGAATTAAAATCTCACTAGAAAATTAATATTAAAATTTTGTCTGCAAGTTGCATCATAAAACAAGGTGTATCAGTGTAGCCTTACCGAAAGCTCTTGCAATCCTCAAGTTTGTTTTGCATCAAACTGAACTCACTTCCACGCTAGAAACAGTGGCTCATTGAGTCAAACTGATTGTAGAGTGTTTTCACTCTCGTGATCAGCAGCTGTGCAAGGACGCTGTCCTTCTTTACGAAAGCATTTCAGTAACACATGTGTAGGATGGCTGATGGAGCTCCGCCGGCTACAGCTGTAGCTTGTGAGCAAGGGGCGGGATCCCTGCGAATTATATGAAACTCTCGCGAGCACTTCACCAGAAACAATCTATTTCTTTACAATAAAATCTTGATATAATCTGAACATACCATGTCTTATGATAACATATTTATAATAGTAATAATAATAGTAATACTAATATTACTTTAATGATCCTCTCCCCTTATGGGGCTTTTTAGAAATAACGGGACAAATGGAACATAACACGGTTAAAAATCCAAACTGGTTGGAGGCGGACCAGTTGGTTATTTTACATGCCTACCCGAGGATTTGATCTCGGGACTATCGAGAACAAATCCAGCTAGTGGTCAGGGCGGGACGTGATCTCGAGGCCTCCGAAATACAAGTCCAGCACTGTTGTAACCACTCGGCCACGATGCCTCCTCTGTAAACTGATTATATTTTCAATGTTGTTTCTTTTACAAAAGATAGCTCCTCTTTCAGGCCTGCTTATACACAAACGCATATCGTAAATTCAAATATTGTAGATAGCTGGTGACGGGCTTATGATAAAAGATGGCGTAAATATTATGGCTGGACATTTATACGTAGAATGGCTACTTATTCGAAGGACATATTGATTCATGAAATGAGGCTCCCTTTCTTCCTTTTTTCTTTTCTTTTTTTTGTGTGCGTGGGGAAGGGGTGTTTGTTACCACTTTACATAATGGTTCCCTAATTTTACAACTAAATGACCAATGGATTATTGTAACATTAATCTCCACCTACACCCCACCCACCGTCCCAGTTGTCAATAGTTTTCCTTCCTTTGTTCAAGTTTCCTGAATATGATCGTTCCTTGATAGGAAAGCCAAGTACAAAAACATCATTTCAGAACTTCGTTTCCAGACCAAGATTGGAATTCATGTCATTCAAGGACCTTGGTGCTGCGAGATATGTTGATGGTTTTGACTGTAAAGATGTGACCCTCGAACTTTGCGTCGACGTGGTTGCTGGTAGTTGATTCTGACTATATGGCGTCCAGTACCAGGCACATCGAAATATTGCTTTCGTTTCCGCCCTTAGGTTTTCGCTGAAAGCAATAAAGAGCCAGGGGTGAATTGCAGCATTTGCGTGAGCAAGCCAGTAGAAAAAATACTGCACAATAGTGGGCACTCCCTCGTACGCCTCTTCGTAAAACTTAGACATTATGTGATCAAAGTGTACTGGGAGCCAGCAGATGGTGAACACCGTCACAGCTGTGATCAGCATCTTGATAACTGCCCGACGATTTCTTGCCTGTTTTGCGTAAGCCTGTCTGTTAACGTGCCCTGGTGGTTTATGTCTCCATAAGAAGAGGCCGATCAAGGAGTAAAAGATTGTCATAATGATCAGGGGGGCTGCATAGGTTAAAACAAATCTTAAAATCATTTCCGCCTTGTAGATAGTCTCAGATGTCTTCTCTGAAACGTGCCAATCGTCATAGCGCTCAGTTGTTCCGTCCTCGGTTACCTCTGTTTGAAACTTGTACAACTGGCCACTGAATATCACTCCACCACACAACCAAAGGGCGACTATGACACGCACCACAGATCGGGATGACAGTGTCCTTGGTCGGACGCTTACAATAGCCAGATACCGGTCAGCGGCAATCACTGTTAGCGTCCAGATGGCAACACAAATGGAGACGAGCAAGAGGTATGGGATGATCTTGACGAGAATTGTACCTACTATTCCTGGTATCCATCGAGAACCAACTAGCAATTGCGGTAATAAGGAAGAGGAAGCTGTGATCACATCTATCGCATCAGCAACAGCCGTGTTTGCCAAAAGCCAGTTGAAAGGGTTTTTGCGAATATGCCCACGCGTGCGCACGAGGTGTATGACGAGCGAATTGCCAACCAACGAAAAAATGATAATGATGATGTAAGCAGTAACGAAGACTATCTTTGTTACGTTATCCGTTTCCTCGTTACTGTAGTCATCTCCGTCGCTTTCTGGACCTTCGTGATCAGTTATGTTAGATCTCTCTGTGTGATTTAATGCCTCCATTCTACAGCCTACGAAAGAGCGAAACAGCTTCAATCATAAGTCAATACTACAACACGTTTCTCCCACCTCCCTTTTTAAAAAGGGGAAAAAATTAAAAAGGACACATGGGAAATCAAAAGACAGAGGCAACATATGCCGATCCATATAAGATGTGATACTTTGTGTTGTATGGCTTCAACGGCTGAACCTTTCGTGTTAGGTAAATGTAACACAAGTCAGAGATAAAAGGCTAAGCCACCTAACATGTGATTGTTTCTTGACCCATAATTTCTTTATTCTTATCGTATTTTAAAAAATTATTAACAGATCGAGACAAAGAACTATTTTCACAGGAATACCTTGCTACCATTTGCTTTAGCCTTCAGCAAGGCCGAAGTGGAAATTGGCATTCCCATTTTAAACAGCACACAGAGTGTGCCATTAAATAAACCATTTTCATTTAATCGATTACCAATATGAAGCAGAAAACCTATATACACATATCAAGCTGATGATTAAGCTGAGTTTTTCAAGATTCCCCTCAAACTAACCGTGTGAGATTGCCATTGATTTTACTCTACCACTGTCCTAATCATCGAAGAGGCAACAGAAGTAATCAAAATTATTTTACTTTTTAGTTCGGCAAAAAAAATTCCTCCGTCGTTTGGTTTGTAGTTACCTCTGTAATAACAAGTTTTCAAACTTACCTAAAGGGTTCCTAGTCGTTATTAAAAAATTTGTTTCAGCTCAAGTTTTTCCGTTATCTAGGGCAATTGTAGTTTCGTGTTGTGCTTAATAAGTGTAATCTTCGCTATTAAACTGGCGAATGAACAACTTCTGCGTCTTAAGTGTTTGAGTAGTTTAATATAAACATATCGAGTGGTTTGTGTTAAATGACATTTCATAACAACTACGCTTCACTATGGCAAGATCGCGTAACTACGTTGTTTCAAATTAATCTTTTTCAATATAATTCGTCAAATTTAGTCAAATTCAGCATTAAGTAGGTTTGTAAACTTACAGAAATAGCAATTCCCATGTTTTATACTAAACTGCTTCATATTTGCATAAAAGCGGCTCTTCGCACATTAAAGTGTTAGTCCTCAGAGCTGTAATTAGTCTGCTTTATTACAAAACGTCTAAAAACTGAAAGCGCTGGAATGTACATGTCAGGGTTCAAAGATGAGAGACCAGGAAAATTTTTGCCTTGGATTTTTTCAGGCACTCCAACTGCTCAAGCTCCTGGTTAGAATTTTTTAAAGCCAAACTTTTAAAAAATCGTCTCTGGTAGCAAATAGGCAGTCAAAATATTTGAATGTATGCTCGCTTTGATAATTTTATGCTAAGCAGCTGAACACGCAAAGGAACACGTAAATAATTGTTATTGATATATTCTGGTCCGAAGGAGGAAAAATTAGTCCGTTTTTGACAATTTCAAACTGATGCTCAGGTAACTTAAGAAGCGGGTCACTCGCATTAATCTGCCCAAGAAGCTAAGAGAATGGTCTCTCTCCAAGAAAAAGGCCGATCGACATGAAATTCGCTTAAAGCTGGTCAAGTGAGCTTTAAGGGGTGTTAACATGAGAAAACACGCACTGGCGCGAGTTTCATACCGGGATGACTTCCTGTTATCATATCGCGTTTACATGTTTGAATGCTATTTCCTCGTCCCATGACGAACAGGACGACGCCATCCTGAATTGACAAAAACTACGCATGTGCTACAAGTTCCAGTCGACCGGCAGACCGATTTCACACCGAAACGGGGGGTCGTTTCGAGTTCACATATTAATAACGTTACGAAATTTCTTACCGGAGTGAAATTCTCGCTCCGGTGCAACAACCGGGGTGAACTCACACCGGTGTGACTCGCGCCGGCACGACATTTTGTGGTGGCTCGCTTGACCACTGAGGGGTTTACCCTGGTTAAATACCTAGGTGATGGTATCATATAAACAAATACAGAGCCACGAGAGAGAACCGGAGTAAACTCACGCCTGCGCGAAATTCGCCCCATTGTCATGTAAACACCTCTTTGTTCTTGAAAGTGTTTCCATAGTAAGATAAAAATTTATGACTCCTTTTTTTTTTCTTTAGAGCTTGTGCGCACTAGGAAAATTGTTTTTACAGAAAACGTTTTGCAGCATTGTTTTTGGAATGCAAGACCTCTTTTCAAATGTAATTGGATTTATGGTCGATTTAGGCGACATCAAAGTTTAAAAGTTATTAAGTGACAAAAAAACTCACAGTCAAATAAAAATTGGTTATATGACCTGGACACGCATTTCAATTGGTTTCGTGTAGAATTTGGTTCACATGAAACCGTTCGAATGTCAATTTGTTTTAAGTTAGTGGGCGCTTAACCTGAAGAAAAATAAGATATCATTTACCGTCACGTGATCCATTAAATTTGTGAAAACGTCTTGTCAACTTGGTTCATTGTGTTAAGTGTAAGGCCTTTGGGAACGTTTCATTTCATAATCTTGAATAATGTAGAAGTCAGACTACCACATTCAGTTTCACATACACCTGATTGGGATTGACAGGATTGAAATAACAACATAGCAAAATAAAAAGATCTTACGCAAATTCAGATTTCAAGGAACTAAGATTCGCGACCCCTAAAATTAAACAAGCATGAATAGTAAATGGAGAATATGATATCAGGTGTTCCATCACAGTGTAGGGATAAAGTAATTTCTTTACCGAAGCCCCATTCCGGACACCAAATAGAGCATGTTTAATTAAACAAGTTTCAAACAAATGGAAAAAATAATAGAATGATGCAAATCAGACATTTACAAAAGATTCATTCACAAAAAACTGTACTATACTCTGTTATTTGCACATTATTTGCAATGGCCAAGAGTCCGAGTAAGCAGCTGTTATGAAGAAAACAATTTTGAACCATGTTTAGCATTAGGCATTAACTTACTGGTTGCGATTGAAAAATGTTTAACACGACTGATCTCAGTGCGAGAGGCTTGACACACAGGATGAGGTGGTTTCCAAAATATATTCGTCAAAAGTGAGTTGCGGGTCTAGAACACCCCCAAGGTCCTTTGCTGAGGATGCAGGGAAAAGATCTTTCCCTAGTAGAGTATTCTGAAACCAGGGAGTTGGCAACTAATTATCTGGTTCCGAAGACTATAAGTTTGGTTTTGCCCTTTTACTAAAAGCAGAAAATTATTAAATTACTGCATAGTATCAGCAGTCAACTCGCATCTCGAAAGAAGAGTTAAGTGTCATCGAGGTAGCGTTATGTTAAACAGTTTCTTGAAACATAAGACGTTCATGTAAATACTAATAAGGAAAAGTAGTCTCATGTAAGGCGTTGAGGAGAAACACGTATTTAAGGAGCAGATTTGACTGGTCTGGGTGGTATCCGTCAGCCACGTGGCTATTCAGTGAACCATGCAAGTGCGCAATTGCCAAGTTTTTGTTGTTTAGAAAGAAAATATCATGGTTTGTACTATCAAAGGCTTAATCTTTCCCAAGATACCTTTCTCAAGTTATGTAAATATTCATTTAAATTTTTCCCTCTGGCTACTAATGGACGCACAAGGGATTTCTTTGCGCAAGATGATATTCTCAAGTCACTTGAAACTTTCTTGAATCGTTTCAACTCTTTGACTTTAATGAGATGCAAAGTAATGTAACTTGAGATTCTCCTTAGGCCATAACGCTTGTGGTTTAAGCAGGCACTTAACAGCGTCTCAAGTCTTACCATCCAATAGCGTAAAGAGTAGATTAAATAAAAATGGCAATTCCCTTTTAACAAATTGTCAATATTATAATACAAGACTTAGATATCCAATAGATGCAATGCACGTGCACCGGTGAAACACGATTTTCAATTCATTTATTGAATCATGACTATGTCGCACATTCGGGTTCAAAATCTAACGTTTCTCGTTAAAAAGTCCAAGTACATAGTTCGTAAGGGCTGAGAAATGACAACGACATCATCCATTTATTTTACATCATTCACGACCAAGTGAATAAGATTGAGTTACTGGTGGATCCATTGTTCCAATATTGACTTTACACTAGAGATGGGTTTCAAAGACGCTTTTAAACGATTCAGGACGGATATTTCGATTGGCTTGCCTTAAAACGTTCTAATTACTAGAAATAAACGCCACTTAATGAACTTAGCTTTGTCAATTTTGCAAGGTCTGTTTTGAACTTGGAAAACAAAAGTAGGTTATGAATTTTACCTACATTTGTATAAGATTATAAGAAGTAATATTAAGCCACGCAAATTTGAAAATTTTCTTCCTTGCTAGCTGATAGCATGAGCTTGAAGATAACAGATGTAGTTGTGCGGAAAATTAGAATCCGGCCAAAAAACGAAACGTTTTGTATATAGGAAGTATTCATATTCACAAACAGAAAAGGCTTATGAGGATAATTTTGAAAACAAGGCAGTTTCTCTCATTTAACCAATACCTCTTAAGTATAAATAGGTAAGCCACTCGGGGTTTTTTGCACTTCGTTTGTTTGACTCGATTTTAAGAATAAATGAAAAAAAAAATTATCTTCCTTTTAAGGTCTGTTGCGGAGTGTTTAGAACTCTGTGTGGCGGATGAACTTGAAGAAGAAAAAACCAAAAAAATATTTAAATAAAAAGACAACAAATCGTTACGATACGTACGCATCGCTTGTGATTCAGTGTACTTGCCACAAATGGAAAAAATGTGGCATTGCTTTTCTAGTAACTCAGAACGGGAGCTGAACTGCTCGCCACGTTAACACAACATTCTACATTTGAAAAAAAAAACAATTTAAGCATTTTCTAAATAGTGAATTAAAAAAGCTTACCTTGCCACATGCGCGCTTCGTTTACTGAAATACCAATTCTTAGAGTTTAGAATTACATCTCGTAATTTGTTTAAACAAAGCACGTTTTACTTACCAGCAATGAATAATTCACTTCACTTCCTAATGCATTAGCGGCAAGTAGCAAACACGAAATATTACCGTTTATGGGCTACTTTTTATTAAAAGCTCTAGATACTGTATGTGAATAAAATATTGTTTAGTATTAACGCATATATAAAAAACAGCGACGAATGAAGAGAGGAAATTGTTTTTAATACCCCGAGTTTCATATCCATGAATTCTCTTATAGAAAACACCTTAGATATTTGTGACCTAACATTGCAAGGCGTTGATAACATTTCATGCCTCTTGGCTCTAAACACAGTCAGCGTGGAACGCTCTGGCTTAAATTTTAAAAACGTTTTCTCGTTTATAAAAAAAAGTCACTCCCTTACTGTTCAGCATTGGTTAACAATAAAAGACAAAGAGATATATATCTTAGTCAGTGGAAAATTAAAAAACAAATAATGGTCAGCAAAAAGCAATGTAGATTATATTTCATTCATGATATCATTTCCACAATCTCTTTGTAAGCAATGCACGTTGGCAAGATGAGTGATGGTCAGCTACAACGCTAGTAATGAAAGTTTATCTCTTGCCCGCCCTCTCCTCAGGCTCGCTTAAGCCTTTCCGTTCTGGTTGGTTCAACCTCGAGAACGGTCTTCTGTAAGATTATATTTATTTTCAGAATACAACAGCAACACAACTATTTTTTAACTTTGTTTGTGTTTAGGGCTGAGAAGACAAAATTTACAAACATTTCTACAATTTTGGAAGAATAAATCGGTGGCTTTTTATCTTACCTGTCAGAAGCCAAATTTCTCTGTAGTGCCCGAGGGTAGATTGAAAACGACAGAAATATGGGCCTTATTGAAGCTTTATATTCATACTTTGGTCATCTATCGTTGGTTATGGAAAGGCCGGGACATAGCTTTCAACTCATACGAGAGAACAAAAGAGGCTAAGGCTTCGAAAAACTGATTGCCGCATTGAAATTTCAGGCTATACTTATTCCTTTCAACAATAAAGCCTAACTCTATATATCTTGGAATTACTTCCTTAGATTAAGACGGCTTTTATTACTATTTGCCTTTTAATTCTTTCTTTATCATTTAATTCGAACATGCAATTATCAGTCGATAATGCAATCGATAGCTCAGCATCTGAGAAATCTTTGTTTTTTCCCTAGGTTACCATAGTTCTCAACTGATGATTGCTATACTTCCTGCTGTGATCAGGTTTATTTCAATTAATCCTTCTTATTAAAAGTCTCATGGATTGAATTAACGGACGAAATAATGAAAATGGTCTCTTTTTAACATTTCCAATGTTTATTCAAATTATTTCATCGATACCAACTGAATGAATTGACAGATTTAAGACAAATATCTTTCAAAATAACAAAAAACGGAAACCTTCCCTGAAAATTTAATAAAAGAACATACAACGTTATTGTTGATAAAAAATCTTTTCTCCATGTTTCATCAACCGCCTGACACAGATGTGGAAAATGTTCGCTGATATCAATACGACAGAAACAAGGACGCACAAATGCCATGCAAAGATGCAGCGATGTGCTCAGCTGTAGTTAGCAATGCAGCAGACTCCGAAAAAACGGCGGAACATTACACATGTTAAGCGAAGACTAAATAGCCGATTTCCTGCCTCAAATATACATAGCAAGAAAAGACAAAAAAAATACCACTACAACAACAGCTACATGATGAAACTTTCTTTAACTGTCTGCCATAATAAATATACCTTCATATCCTGAAAATGCCGTGAATCAGGCAAATGTTCTGAACACGAGATCTTTACACAGAGGTAACACTGTTTTCAGTAAGCTTAGAAATATTTTGAATGAATAATAAGACAATTGTTGGATTTATTTTTCGTATGGTCCATGATATGATAGTCGAGAACTGGTTCGGAGGCTCGCATGAAACAATCATTCAAACAATGAAAGTGCAATTTGTTTTTGAATTGTTGGTTCATAGCCAGCTCAATATTCTTTAATTTGATAAAGGGGTTTCAGGTATCTTTAGTACCTACACTACTGAAGGTATCCGCACCCCAAGTCTGTCGCACAAGAACCTTTGTGTCTCCTAACGTGTACACCGCAACATGTGAGAAGGTAAAAACGACGTTATTACGGCTCGCTGGTTTGCGTGGGTGTAGTCGCCGGAAGGGAGTGACTTACCCAGGGTTGTCCATTTAGGCCCCGTCAACACGTACTCAGATATTTTTGAATCCGCCACTTTTTCTTTCCGGATTAAAAAATTTCCACTCCACGTGTATCCGTATTACACGTATCCACACAAATCGGATTTGCCCGTCCACACGTATCCGACACGTATCGACAGGGCTGAATAACGTACTACGCATGTCCGTGACATCAATTGTTTACCAAGCATAGCCCGTGCTCCTAGCACTCGTTGGAAGAAAGAAGAAAATTGGAAACCTTAATGATTGTTTTGTGTTCTTACAGTTTTTATAGTGAAACCTAGCGAGACGTAACAAGAGAAATAATTAAAAGGCGATCATTCAATGAAAAATAAAGATAAATATCAAAATGTAACTTTAATGCTAAAACCGCTAAGAGATGTCCGGATTTTCTTAGAAGTGATAACATGTCGATAGTCTGTCTTTCATTTCTGTTTACGCCTGAACATGTACACATTCGAATGAAAGAACTGCTCTCGGCTTCGTCCGTGCATCTTCTTTTGTTCATAGTAAAAAACGGAAGAAAAATTACGGAGGTAGAAACGAGAATTCAATAAAGTATGAGGGGATAATCTATCTTCAATTTAAATGGGAGCCTTGAATATTTGGAAACCATTTTAAAAATCGGGAAAATGTGAGGATGTTTTGAAAATCCTTTTGCAAACGATATTACTATAGCAGGGACGCTTCGTTCGTGCGCCTTCTTTTGCTCATAGAAAAAAGTAGAAGAAAAATTACAAAGGTAGAAACGAGAATTGAATAAAGTATGAAATAATCTACCTTTACTTTAAATGGGAATCTTAAATATTCAAAATCCACCTTAAAAATCGCCAAAATGAAAGGATGTTTAGAAAATCCTTTTGCAAACGATACTAGTTTAGATCCCCGACCTCTTCCGTCTCCGCACATGCGCAGACGTTGTTCAGCTAGGACTCCTCTGGGATTATTGGCAACAGAGCATGAGTCGTAAAACGCGCTAAATGTGCATCTTTCTCTACCTTGAGAGAACCTGGGACCGAGGTTTCCATCTTGAATAGTGTATTCACCGTAACTCCACTGAACCGGGCTTAATCTTGTTACGTCACTGGATTAAAAAAATATCCGGATTTCGCTTCCACACGATTCCAGATTCACAGCGTATTCACTATGTTAAGAACTTTTGGTATGTACTTAAATTCGAATGGCTTCCAATTAATGAGAGAAGATATTTCAACCTCCTGAAATCATGCTTTAAAGTTTTGCATAGCACTAAGACTTGGTCAGATTATCTAAAAATAATAAGTAGGAATGTCGTAAGGAACTGCGCTCAAGCAATTCCGTTAGATTAGTGTTTCCAAGAATTTATTATAAACTATAAAGATTACAAAACCTTTTAAGACTTTCGAGGAAATTTTTGTGTAATAGAGTACAGAGTGATTAGTTAATTTTACTGGAACTTCAAATCTGTTAGTCATACTTCTACTTTTATACATCACTCTTATTTTTTAATTGTAAATAGCGTTAATCAATTTATTTTTTTAATTGCAAATAATTAACAATTATTGGAAGAGGTTGAGCAAGATATCGTGATTTGTCATAGGCGAGCAGATCAATTAGTTGCCGAAGCCTGAAGTCTGAATAATTGTTTTATTACTCGATCGCCGAGTTTGTTTTTTAATGAATCTTATCGTAAAACGTAGCTATTTGCCATGTTCAAGAAAGATGCAGTCGCAAGAAGGAGAATAGTGTGGTTCGTTTACGCATGAGTAGAATATTATTTGCAGCCAAACACAGTTGGACGACACTGTGCATGAGCAGGCCATTATTTCTAGGCAGTTATTTGCAGGTCACGTGGTGGGTTCTAGGCCAATGAAAAGGGAGAAAAATTTGCATCGATTGATAATGTACGTTGACAGGGGAAAACCACCCCATGGATCTGCTATATATACCATTATTATTATTATTGTTATTATCATCATCACTTTAACTCAAAAGAGTCAGAAAACAAGTTTTATTTTGCTTTAAAAATTGCATCATCTCATTCCACGTCATACGTCTTCTTTTCTTATAACAATAGCAATCGAAGGCACCAATCTTGATCAAGCTTGCAGTTGGCTAATGAAAAAACAAACAGTGACTGAGAGAAGAGTAACTATCTCAAAGTCCTCATCTTAATCAGTGAAAGGACCTAAACGTTCAAAGGAAAAGAGAATAAGTGGGGTAAACATGATACAAATCACAATTATTTATCGGGTAGACACAATCACGAGAATGGTATAACGCAGGTGGTTGGTGCGCGGCCAACTCGGGGGGTCCCGAGTTCGATTCCTATCGGGTATGACCACAATACCTTCTTTCGACCTCTTTTTGTTCTTTTGTGTAGCTTAAAGTAACTTCAAATACCCGTAAAACCGCTGGGGCACTGACAGAGAGAGTGGGAAGAGGTAAAATGGGCGCACCGTCGGCTTCAGGTTTGTTAATCAGATGACTATTTCGAGCTACAGACGTAAAATAACGACTCTTTACCTTTACCTTTTACCTTGATAGAGTGTCTCGCACAGGCTAGTATTCTCAGAATAATACAATGGCTGATATATTTGTTTTCCTTTTATTTTTCAAACTTGACAAGACGATGCAGCGGTCCGTGGATGTGAATGTTTGCTTTGAAATATTCAAATTACTTTAACAAGAGAAGTGTTTATAGACGGCATAAAACATAATGCCCTACTTAACTTTATGTTGCACCCTGGTCACTCCCAATTAG